CTATTGTATTAAGAAAGCTTTTGATGGAAGACAAAGCGACATGATCTTTGTGCCTCCTCCATTTCTCCTCTGACTGCTTCTCTGTGAGCTTCATGTGTTTATCTAGAGCACTAGTGTCCATTCAGATTACTGGACTCTTGCAGGACTCCTCTAAGGGATGATTAGATGAAGTGCTCCCCAAGTGTAGCACAGAGAGTCTAAACATAGTTGTAAAAACATTTGCTTCATGGCAATTTAAAACATTAAGGATAGTAACTTCACTTCTTAGCTAATGAACTAGGTGTGGAGAAGGCCAGACTGAAATGAGATCTCACACTGAGTGGGATGCAGAGATCAGCTATGAAGTTGCAGGTACCATCTAATAAGCATGATGTTTAAGGCTTTACTACAGTCCAGGGCCTTGCATGGCTTATTTAAGTATTCCTTATAACTATCTTATCCTTGCCATTCTCATCACCACCATTACAAGCTGCATATACAGGACAAGATGCTGATAGGAAAGTCATACTTCCCCTAAAGGTAGATAATTGGCAGAAGGTAGGATTGGAACCCAAGCTGCCTGGTTCCTGAACTGCCATAGTAAGCCCCTATCCTGCTCCGCTTTGCACTATGCTACTTTCTTGTACTATTCTGCTGCCAATACATAGCAATTCACCTCAGCCAGGCACTGTGTTGGGATGAAAGCTAGTCTGAAAGGTACCAGGGAAACTGATAAAATGGATGGGCCGTGAACATTGGAAGGTTTTTCAGGTTGTAACTCAGCCATACCCTACTGCTGCATGTGTGAGAATCTTCTACATGACTGTTGAGCTCAGGAGCGGTCCTGTTGGGACCTCAGAGGTTTGTTTAGATGGCTCATTCTTGTGAAATAGTCTCCAATGCCTATCATTTTAGAAAGAGAAAGTCTTTGGAATCAAATCACGAGGATAGAGAAAACTCAACTCTGTTTTTCTCTGTACTTGCTAGACTCTGGAAAACGATGGTGTCTAGGATTCCACGCCCCTGTGGTAGATGGAGGCTGGTGACTATTATACTTAGGTGACAGAATACAAACAGAAAGGAGGCAAGTGCTATGGCTGTCTGCTGACTGAAGGGGAGAAAGTAGTATTTTCTAAGAGGGATGTCCTAGATTTTCACTATGCTCCAGTCATTAGTAAAGGCTTTTTCCTGTCCCAGTCCAGGGCCAGCTGTGCCATGACAAGAGCATGAATACTTAGGCCAGTTATCAAGGGTGAGATATAGTGTGTCCTTGAAATACATGAAATTTGTCAAGGAAATCTCTCTCTCTCTCTCTCTCTCTCTCTCTCTCTCTCTGATCAACAATCAAATTGAGGGCCTTGTACATGCTAGGCAAGCACTCTGCCACTGAATTAGTTCTACAGCCCTGAGACTTTGTATTTCTGATGAGTACACTGACTTCCTCCAGGTTAAGTCATGTACTTCTTGCTGGCCAAGAATTTGTTGTTTCAGAGGCTTAGGCTGCTCTGAACTTCAAGGGCAGACATCTTCCACAATTAATAAAGTCTCATTAATGCTTCCATCACAGCTCTCCATCACCGCTACCCAGAAAGACATATTGCAGAAAGAGATTTTAGAAATGTAATTACTATATGGCTTCAATAACCACATCACCCCCACCCCCCACACACACAAAGTAGAAAGAAATATTTTCACAATCCTGTCATCTCAGAAAAACAAATTCTCATGTTTTTCATGTTTTTATGTCATTATACTCATAGATAAAATAAAGTTTGGAGTTTTCTTGTGTGCATGTGTAGGGTTTTTCCCCCTCCATTATAATTTTTCCCTATGTGTTTTATTTCCTGTACATGTCTTTGTTTTGTTTCCATTGACTTTTTTCCCTTCAAAAGTCCTCCAGAATTTCTGAAACAATTCTGTTTTCTATCATTTTTGATTTCCAAATCAATTAAACACATAGTAAGATGTGATTTACTTGTATACCCTTGTAATATAAAAGAAATAAATCCATGCATCAGAAATTCTTTGCTACTCTCTTGTAATATTTAATTAAGTTTCCATAGCTCTGTCAAAACTTTATATTTATAAACACATTGTTTCTTGGCTACAAGGGATATTTTGTCCTGTGGGGGATATCTGCCTATGTCTGGAGATAATTTTTATTGTCATATGACTAGTGGACACTCCCACCAACATCTACTGGGTATGATGCTCTATAGCCTACAATGCACAGGATGGCACCCACTGAAGGAAATTAATTATCCAGCCATAAATGTCAATGATATTGAGACTGAGAAACAATGTCAGTGTAAATGTAAGAAAGAGGTCCATAAGCCCCCACCCCTAACTGAGGAGCTATAGACAGTTGATGGCTTCTGGGGGATGGAGCATAAGTTTTCTTTAAGGGTGGGTGTGGCTCCTGGTGGATTCACCACCATCCAGAAGATGGCTCCACATGCAGGAGTATGTAGGGGGAGCAAAAATTGGAGTTGATGAATTATTATGAAGGGCCCCAGCATACTTGCTTAGCCTAACGCCATTTTTGAGCAAGGCTTGAAAAGTAACTAGAGGTAAGAAAAACAACTTGTACCCTGGATGAGAGCCAAGTCAGCAGGCGTGTCGAGCTCGGGGAAAAACCACGAGCTGTCCTGAGTTTGAACCTGGCCTCATACGAATCGTCCAATCAGAACCCTGTAAAACATGCTTCCTGCTTCTGTACCCGCCCTTCCGCTGCCCAACCCTATAAAAACCCTCCACTCCAGCCAGTGGGCGCGCCAGTCTCTTCAGCCTCTGGAGGGACTGTATCGCCCCGGGTACCCGTGTTCCTGAATAAAGCCTCTTGCTGTTTGCATCTGACTTGTGGTCTCGGTGTGATCTCTGGGCGAGGGTCTCTCCAGAGGGAAGACTCCAGTCGGGGGTCTTTCATTTGGGGGCTCGTCCGGGATTTGAGACCCCCGCCTCGGGACCACCGACCCACTGTCAGGAGGTAAGCTGGCCGGCCACTGTCTGTCTGTATTGTCTCAGTCTGTTTACTTGTCTTTCGTTTTCGTCGGACGTCCTAAGTCAGGTCTGAGTCGGTGGGGGCTGAAGGAGCTGACGAGCTCGGACTTCGCCCACTGAAACCCTGGAAGACGTTCCACGGGTATCTGAAGTCCCCTCTGGGGCACGGAAAGTCCCCTCTGGGGCACGGGAAGTCCCCTCTGGGGCACGGGAAGTCCCCTCTGGGGCACGGTTTTTCGGGGCCACCCACGCATCAGAAGGATACGTGGTACTGGCAGGGGACGGAGAATTCAAACACTCCGCGTCCCCATCTGAGTTTTTGCTTTCGGTTTTACGCCGGAGCCGCACAGCGAAAAATTCTGTGGTCTGTCTTGTCTGTTTGTTTCTCGTTGTGTGTTTAACCCTTCTTTATTTGGAGACCACCATGGGACAGGCTGTCGCCACCCCATTGAGCCTAACCAAGGACCACTGGTCCGATGTTAAGGCCCGAGGAAACAATGAAGGTGTCATTGTCAGGAAGAAGAAATGGATCACCTTCTGCGAGGCCGAATGGGTTATGATGAATGTCGGCTGGCGAGAGGGATCTTTTAACCTCTCTCTTATTTCGCAGGTGGAGGGTAAGGTTTTCGCCCCTAGCCCTTATGGGCATCCCGACCAGGTCCCATATATCACCATCTGGAGATCACTGGTCGAGAACCCATTTCCATGGGTTAAGCCTTTCCTTCCGCAGCCCCCTCCAGTCTCTGGGCCTTCTGCGCCCCCCAACCCGGACTCCTCCCTTTACCCCGTGCTCCCTCACAAGGAGACTCCTAAGCCTCCAGTCCTTCCCCCAGACCCCAATACTCCCCTTATAGATCTCCTGACGGAGGACCCACCACCATATCGAGCCGGACCACCTGGAGAGCCAGCCGAAGCGGCCCCAGCCGCCGCCCCGGTGGTGACGTCCCCGGTCGTGCCCGTGGCAGATCCGGAAGTCACCTCGACTCGCAGGACCCACAGGGCTGAAGAAGAGGACGCAGCCCCGTCCCCCATTGCCGGCCGCCTCCGCGGCCACCGGGATGGCCCCCCTATTGAGTCCAGGGCCTTCCCGCTCAGAGAGGGGCCGAATCGCCAGTTGCAGTACTGGCCCTTTTCAGCCTCAGACCTCTATAATTGGAAACAACATAATCCCCCTTTCTCCAGGGATCCTGTTGCCTTAACTGGCCTAATTGAGTCCATCCTAGTGACTCACAGGCCGACTTGGGACGACTGTCAGCAGCTCCTGCAGACCCTCTTAACAGTAGAGGAGAAGCAGAGAGTTTTCCTGGAGGCCCGGAAGCAGGTTCTGGGCGACGATGGGAGGCCAACTCAACTCCCAAATATCATCGATGCAGTTTTTCCCTTGACCCGCCCAGACTGGGACTTCAATACACCTGAAGGTAGGGAGCATCTACGTCTCTATCGCCAGTTGCTCTTAGCGGGTCTCCGAGCGGCCGCCAGAAGGCCTACCAATTTGGCTCAGGTAAGGAATGTGATACAGGGAAAGGAAGAAACACCCGCTGCATTTTTAGAGAGGCTGAAGGAGGCTTATAGGATGTACACTCCGTATGATCCAGAAGACCCAGGGCAAGCACCAGGTGTCATCCTATCATTTATCTATCAGTCTAGCTCAGATATCAGAACCAAATTGCAGCGGCTGGAAGGTTTACAGGTGCTAGGTTTGCCAGACTTATTGAAGGATGCAGAGAAAGTGTTCAATAAGAGAGAAACTCCTGAGGAGCGTGAGGAAAGGAGATGGCAGAAACAAGAGGAAAGGGACAAGAAACAGCATAGGGAGATGAAAAAGGTTTTGGCCGCCGTTGTGTCTCAGGGACAGCGGAGAGAGGGAGATAGGTCGGGAGAGCGAAGGAGGCCACCCCTTGATAAAGACCAATGTGCTTACTGCAAGGAGAAGGGACACTGGGCCCGAGAGTGCCCCAAGAAGCCACAAGGACCCCGCCGGCCCAGGCCCAAGACTGTAGACCTCCTTAGTCTGGAAGACTAGGGGAGTCGAGGCCAGGAGCCCCCCCCCTGAGCCTAGGATAACCCTCAAGATCGGGGGGCAGCCCGTGACCTTCCTGGTTGATACTGGTGCCGAACATTCAGTCCTAACCCATGCCGGAGTGCCTCTTAGCCGGCATTCTGCACTGGTGCAGGGGGCAACTGGAAATAAGAGGTATTATTGGACTGCCGAGAGAAAAGTCCAACTGGCATCAGGGCAAGTAACTCACTCCTTTCTGCACATACCTGAATGCCCCCATCCGCTGTTAGGACGGGACCTATTAACCAAATTGAAGGCACAAATCTATTTTGATGAGAAGGGACCGAGGGTCACGGGTCCTAAAGGAGACCCTCTACAAATCCTCGCCCTCAGTTTAGAAGAAGAATACCGTTTGTTTGAACCAGAACCCCCGGAGAAATCACCTGAGGAACTACAGAACTGGCTGAGGGAGTTTCCTCAGGCCTGGGCAGAGACTGGAGGCTTGGGGCTGGCACACGATCAGCCACCGCTGGTGATCTCACTAAAGGCCTCCGCGACTCCCGTTTCAATTAGACAATACCCAATGTCACGGGAAGCTCATGAGGGGATCAAGCCCCATATTCGAAGGCTCCTGGACCAAGGGGTGCTAAAGCCCTGCCAGTCCCCTTGGAACACCCCTCTCTTGCCTGTTAAGAAACCGGGGACAGGGGACTACAGGCCGGTCCAGGACTTGAGAGAGGTCAATAAGCGGGTGGAGGACATACACCCCACGGTGCCCAACCCCTATAACCTTCTGAGCACCCTCCCACCGACCCACGTCTGGTACACTGTGCTAGACCTGAAGGATGCCTTCTTTTGTTTGAGACTGCACCCTCAAAGTCAAATGCTATTCGCTTTTGAATGGAGGGACCCAGAAAAAGGGCTTTCGGGACAGTTAACCTGGACCCGGCTCCCTCAAGGCTTCAAAAATAGCCCAACCCTCTTTGATGAGGCCCTACATGCAGATCTGGCCGGATTCCGGGTCGAACACCCAACCCTGACTCTGCTCCAGTACGTGGATGATCTACTCCTGGCGGCCAGGAGTCGAACCGAGTGCCTGGAGGGCACTCGAGCCTTATTGGCCAGACTTGGACAAAAGGGCTATAGAGCCTCAGCCAGAAAGGCTCAAATATGCCGAGACAAGGTTACCTACCTGGGCTACACCCTGAGCGGGGGGCAAAGATGGTTAACAAGAGAGAGGAAGGAGACGATAATCTCCATCCCTCCTCCTCGGAACCCCCGCCAAGTTCGAGAGCTCCTGGGTACGGCTGGGTACTGCCGCCTTTGGATTCCTGGCTTTGCCGAACTGGCAGCCCCATTGTACCCCCTCACTAAACCAGGGGCCATGTTCCAATGGGAAGAGAAGCATCAGAAAGCATTCCAACAGATCAAGAAGGCCTTACTCGAGGCCCCGGCTCTGGGTCTGCCAGATCTAACTAAGCCCTTTGAGCTGTTTGTGGATGAGAACTCAGGTTTTGCCAAAGGGGTACTGGTGCAAAGACTGGGACCTTGGAGGAGACCTGTAGCGTACTTGTCCAAGAAATTGGACCCGGTGGCTACAGGATGGCCATCATGCCTCCGCATGGTGGCAGCCATTGCCGTATTACTTAAGGATGCCGGGAAGCTGACTCTGGGACAGCCGTTGACTGTGCTGGCCTCCCATGCAGTGGAGGCCTTGGTCCGACAACCACCGGACAGATGGCTTTCTAATGCCAGAATGACTTACTATCAGGCCTTACTGCTGGACTCAGACCGGGTAAATTTTGGGCCGACAGTTTCCCTTAACCCTGCTACCTTGCTGCCACTGCCTAGCCCCTCCGAGGAACATGACTGCCTCCAGATTCTAGCCGAAGCACATGGTACCCGCCCTGATCTGACAGATCAGCCGCTTAAGAATCCAGACGCTGTCTGGTACACAGATGGGAGCAGTTTCCTGGAGGAGGGGAAACGCAGAGCCGGGGCAGCTATAACCACCGAATCGGAAGTGGTATGGGCATCGTCACTCCCGCCCGGGACATCGGCCCAGTGCGCAGAACTGATTGCGCTCACCCAAGCTCTCCGGATGGCAGAAGGTAAGAAGCTCACAGTTTATACTGACAGCAGATATGCCTTCGCCACTGCGCATGTCCACGGGGAAATCTACAGACGGAGAGGCCTGCTGACGTCCGCGGGTAAGGAAATCAAAAACAAAAAAGAGATCCTAGACCTCCTAAAGGCCCTGTTCCTCCCGCTCCAACTCAGTATTGTCCACTGCCCAGGGCATCAGAAGGATGACTCTGCGGTAGCCAGAGGGAATCGGCTGGCGGATCTGACTGCCCGAACAGTGGCTTCCCAGCCAGCAGGGAGCAGCCAGTTGATGGCCATACAAGAACCACAGCCTGAGAGAGACCCCGTGCCCTATAGCCCAGAAGACCATGAGCTAGCAAAGAAAATGGGGGCGGACTGGGAACAAGGAAGACAAGCATATATACTGGGAGACCGGATGGTCATGCCAAACTCCCATACCCGATACATGCTGAGATTCCTCCATGCACTGACCCATTTGAGCAAAAACAAGATGAAGACCCTATTGGACAGAGAAAACACCTGGGCAGTGCTGCTGAACCAGGATCAGGTACTCCAGCAGGTAACTTCTACCTGCCCAGCCTGTGCTCAAGTCAACACAGGAAAGGTTCATCTAAACAAGGGGGCCCGCCAAAGAGGTCATCGTCCTGGTGTTCATTGGGAAATAGACTTTACAGAAGTAAAACCCGGACTCTACGGGTACCGGTACCTCCTGGTCTTCGTGGACACTTTTTCTGGATGGATCGAGGCATTTCCAACCAAGAATGAGACGGCTAACGTGGCAACAAAGAAACTGTTGGAAGAAATCTTCCCCAGGTATGGGATGCCTCAAATATTGGGGTCGGATAACGGGCCTGCCTTCGTCTCTCAGGTAAGCCAGAGGGTGGCCAAACTATTGGGGGTTGATTGGAAACTCCATTGTGCATACCGTCCCCAGAGCTCAGGACAGGTAGAACGAGCTAATAGAACAATCAAGGAGACTTTAACCAAATTAACGCTTGCAACTGGCACTAGAGATTGGGTGCTCCTACTTCCCTTGGCTCTCTACCGAGCCCGAAATACTCCTGGCCCACACGGCCTAACCCCTTTTGAGATCATGTATGGGGCCCCACCTCCTGTTGTAGACTTTCTCCATCCTGATATTTCCTCCTTTGCTACCACCCCTACTTTAGAGGCACATCTTCAAGCCCTCCAACTGGTGCAGAGGGAGATCTGGAAGCCCCTGGCCAAGGCCTATCAGGAGCAGCTAGACAAGCCGGTGGTGCCCCACCCCTTCCAGATCGGGGACTCCGTTTGGGTCCGACGACACCAGACCAAGAATCTGGAACCACGGTGGAAGGGGCCCTACACTGTCTTGCTGACCACCCCCACTGCACTCAAGGTCGACGGGATTGCTGCATGGATCCACGCCTCGCATGTGAAGGCTGCCAGGGAACCCGACCCAGCAGGATCCAGAAAGCCAACATGGACAGTGCGCCGCACACGAAACCCCCTAAAAATAAGGTTGGCCCGCGGCTCCTCTTCCTCCCCCTCCTCTTAATCTCTGCCTACCCCCAGGGGACTAGGGCGGCAGAGAGCCCGCACCTAGTTAAGAGGCTCACTTGGCAGGTTATCTCACAAACTGGGGAGACGGTCTGGCAAACGGCCGCCCTTCACACCCCCTTCACATGGTGGCCTAACTTGCATCCAGATCTCTGCCAACTAGTAGCAGGGTCAGAGGACTGGGACATCCCCACCACTGACCCCATGAACCCCAGAGCACCAGACGTCTGTCAGGATGGTAAGGGAACTTGCAAATGTAGTGACGGGAGATATGGATGTGGTCACCCTGAAACCAGAGCAGCCCTGTCACAACTATCCTTTTACGTCTGCCCCCGGGATGGTAGGGACAGAAAGATGATTAGACAATGTGGGGGTTATGAAAGTTACTTCTGTAAAGCATGGGGATGTGAAACAACTGGTAATACCTATTGGGAGCCTTCATCCACTTGGGACCTCATTAGGGTAAAAAGAACTACCCAAAGAGAAAGCCACTCATGGCGTCCTCTTACTCAAGGACGTTGTTGGGGAACTGTCACGTCAGGAAGAGATAACACTTACTGGAAAGGGGGGGGCCCTGTGTAAATTTCACCTGCAACCCCCTGAATATATCTTTTACTCAGAAGGGAAGGGAGATAACACAAGACTGGATTAAAGGTAAAACATGGGGACTTAGACTTTACATGACGGGATGGGACCAGGGAGTCGTGTTTACGATTAGGCTTAAAATCACGGAGCCCTCCACCTCTATAGGTCCCAACCAGGTTCTCTCTGACCAAAAGCACCCCTCTTTACCCGCTCCGGCACCCCCGAGGGCTACCCCCCGACCCAATTCAGCCATTCGCCCAAGCACGGCTCCGAATGCTACTGTAACCCCAGTCACCCTCCAGCCACCCAGGCCCGGTACGGGAGACCGGCTATTGAATCTTATAGAGGGCGCTTACTCAGCCCTCAATGTTACCAACCCAAATCAGACTCAGGAATGCTGGTTATGCCTAGTCTCCACACCTCCCTATTATGAGGGGGTGGCCGTAGTTGGAAGCTTCACCAATTCTTCTTCACCCCCGTCAGGATGTGCCTCGACACCTCAGCATAAGCTCACAATCTCCGAGGTGTCAGGACAAGGACTATGTCTGGGGATAGTACCCTACACCCACCAACACCTGTGTAACCGCACCCAGGCACTTGTTCCAGGACCCCACTATCTCGTGGCTCCCAACGGAACTTATTGGGCCTGTAGCACTGGACTTACACCATGCCTCTCCTCCTCAATACTAGCCAACACGGCCGATTATTGTGTGCTCATAGAACTGTACCCCAAGATAGTCTACCATGCACCTGAAGATATCTATGCCCGATATGAAACAGGGGTCCCCCGTATAAAAAGAGAGCCAGTCTCGCTAACCCTGGCCCTGATATTAGGTGGATTAACTATGGGAGGAGTCGCCGCCGGAATAGGCACAGGTACCACTGCCCTCATGGAAACCAACCAGTTCAGACAACTCCAGGTTGCCATGCATACCGATATCCAGGCACTGGAGGAATCCGTGAGTGCCTTGGAAAAGTCACTCACCTCCCTGTCTGAAGTAGTTCTGCAGAACCGGAGGGGATTAGACCTCCTCTTCCTGCAGGAGGGGGGGTTATGTGCCGCCCTTAAAGAAGAATGTTGCTTCTATGCGGATCATACTGGGGTGGTGAGAGATAGCATGGCTAGATTAAGAAAAAGATTAGAACAAAGACAAAAACTCTTTGAAGAACAGCAGGGATGGTTTGAAGGATGGTTCAGAAGGTCCCCCTGGCTCACCACCCTCATCTCCACCCTTATGGGACCCCTTCTGATTTTATTGCTCCTTCTGACGCTCGGGCCCTGTATCCTAAACAGACTTGTCCAATTTATCAGGGAACGCGTTTCTACTATTCAGACCTTGGTATTGACCCAACAATACCAACGACTCAACCAGGTGGAAATGGAGTCACATCCCTATTCTTCCCCATGAATGGAGGATTCCATTCCCTGAGATAAGAAAATGGGGGAATGAAAGGCCCCAGCATACTTGCTTAGCCTAACGCCATTTTGAGCAAGGCCTGAAAAGTACGGGGAAAGTTCAGTTAGAGGACATGGGCACAGGAACAAACAGGGTATCTGCAGTCGGCCACCTGGCCCCAGAACAGGGAACTAAAAGGTCAGAAAAACAACTTGTACCCTAGATAAGAGCCAAGTCAGCAGGCGTGTGGAGCTCGGTGGAAAAACCACGAACTGTCCTGAGTTTGAACCTGGCCTCATACGAATCGTCCAATCAGAACCCTGTAAACTATGCTTCCTGCTTCTGTACCCGCCCTTCCGCTGCCCAACCCTATAAAAACCCTCCACTCCAGCCCGTCGGGGCGCCAGTCTCTTCAGCTTCTGGAGGGACTGTATCGCCCCGGGTACCCGTGTTCCTGAATAAAGCCTCTTGCTGTTTGCATCTGACTTGTGGTCTCGGTGTGATCTCTGGGCGAGGGTCTCTCCAGAGGGAAGACTCCAGTCGGGGGTCTTTCAATTATGGGTAAAAAAAAAAAAAAAAGAGGACACCAAGTTTGTAGAGGGTAGATTCTTGGAAGAATTAAGAGGAGGGGTTGAGGGTGAATATGATCAAAACATACTGTATGACATTCTGAAAGAATTAATTAAAACCGTTTAAAGGCTTACCCTAGGTTAACAAAGACAAGTGCCAGGCACCATCTGGCTCTTCTGAGGGTAGGACTCATCCTCAGACCTTTCCGACAAAGAGCTCAGGCAGTTTGTGGCTCCAGGTACTAAAGTCTAGATGAATGAGGCCTCTCAGGCAGCAAGAACTGTAGCTAGAGTTTTCCTGCCTGGCCCACAGTCAGGACAAATCTCTGACACCCGCCAGTCCCACAGCCGCTCAGACCCGACCAAGTAAACACAGAGACTTATATTGGTTACAAACTGTATGGCCGTGGCAGGCTTCTTGCTAACTGTTCTTACAGCTTAAATTAATCCATTTCCATTAATCTATACCTTGCCACATGGCTCGTGGCTTACCGGTACTTTACATCGTCCTTGTCCTGATGGCGGCTGGCAGTGTCTCCCCCACCCAGCTTCCTGTTCTCTCAATTTTCCTCTCTGTTAGTCCCGCCTATACTTCCTGCCTGGCCACTGCCAATCAGTGATTTATTCATTGACCAATCAGCAACACATTTGACATACAGACCATCCCACAGCAAAGAACACATTGGAGAAGACATGCCCCTAAGCTTCCTGTTTGGCCAGTCAGTCTGGGCTGCCCCCAGCTAGCTCTGCAGCTTGGTGCACACCTCTTATCCACATTTTTTCTGTGTGAATTTTCTCTTAGGTACTCACTGCTCTCTTACAGGCTGCCTGTTTCTCACATTTTTCTGAGTTTACTTCTGTCTCCCAAGAGGGAAGATTTTCAGTGTGTTTTGTTTACTGCTATTTCTCGGCACCCGGAGCAGTGCGTGGCCCATCGTAAGGCACACTGTTTGCCTGTTTAAGTAAAAAAAAAACCAAAACTGAATGGACAGTTTACCAGCACACACAGAATTGTTATTCTAGACATCACCATACCTACTCACTCCCAGGGGAGAAGAGCCCAGAGAGGAGAGGGAGCCCCGGGCAGCAGCAGTCCACCCTCCATGGCAGATGGCGAAGGCCATTAGAGGGAAACACAGATGGGAACAGCTGCAGGTCGCCAGTCTTGCACAGTCATTATTAGGTGTCTCTTCCCTCTGGGGGGCTGTGCTCAGTGTCCAGGGGACTGTGCTGAAGTGTCCTTGTATGGCCTCTTGGAGGCTACCCACAGGAAAGTCCCACTTTCCTTGTAGCCTCATTCAAAGGATGGCAATCTTGTTGTCTCATTGCCTTGGTGTTTTCCCCTTAGCCCCCTTACAAACCTGAATCAGTGGCCTCAGTGTATGGACAGAACATCTTTTGAAGGTTCACAGTTGTGTTTGATATACTGTTTCTGAATACGTGTACTCTGGACTCATTGGAAACAAGACTTCTGACAACTTCTGAGCCCTCGTAACCCCACATCGTTATTCACACAGCACCAGCGGGGGCGGCGGGAACAGGGTGGACAGAAGTGATCTGGAATTCCTTGGGTGGACGATGACAGCCCCGCTGCAGGCCTGTGCAGCCCATCAGTTGGCAGCTTTAGAGAGCAGCATTATGTTTCCCGTCACTCAAGGCAGGTGAGCCAAAGCCACGTCTCGCTGGCTGCCTCTGCAGCTGCAGCTGAGATCAGGTGGCCCCACCTGCCTTGCCTCGGCAGCTCAGGTTCTTGAAAGGCTGGTGACAGGGGCAATCATCTGTACTTGGCATAGCAAACCCAAACACACTCTGAAAGGCACAGCTGGGCCAAGCTCAGCAACTTTATTCATTAGGCAGTTAATCTCGAGGCTGTCAGCCTAGGCCACAAGGGCAGGCTCAGGCGGGGAAGCCGTGTTCGCAACAATTCAATCCTGCGCCGCAAAGACGACTGAGCCTGTGCTGTGTACAAAGAAGATGGCTGGCTAGGATGAAAAGGACAGGACGGCTCCTGCCCCAAAGAGCTCAAGTGCTAGCTGCTCTAGGAGCCCCAAGGGAGAAAATGAAGGACCGCTGAAGTTCAAGGTTGGGTGTGAGACTGTTCATTTAAACAGTCGGGACAAATAGGGCAAGTCCCAAAGCTTGGATAGAATTTCTTCCCCCTTCCTTTTTCTTTCTTCTGTGTAATTGATGGGAAAAAATATCTCCTTACCTTTATGGATGTCCTCCTCTGATTTCCCAGAACCTGTGAAAGTATTACCTTGGCAAAAGACACTTAGGAGCTGTGGCTCAGTTAAGGTTGTAGAGATTGCCCTGGTCCATGCTATGGGCCTGTATGGAATCAGAAGAGACCTTGTGGAGGGGAGACTGGAGGCCCACCTTAGAGACAGCGTGGAAGATGCTACACTACTAGCTTAAAGACAGAGGATGGGGTCCAAGCTGTGCAGCCTAGGCAGCCTTTAGAAGCCGGGGTAGGCAGGATAGCAGATACTTCCCATGAACCTTCAGGAGGGGCACAACCTGCTGATACCTGTGGACTCCTGACCTCCAGACCCATAAGGATGCAAGAGTGTTGCCAGACAAGCTAGTTCTGTGATGCTCTGCTACGGTAGCAATGGGGAACAAACATTGGCATGTTCTCTTCCCTTTTCTTTTCCTCTCCTTATCTGTCCCCTTGGTCCCTCCCTCCCCTCCTCCCTTCCCTCCTCACCATTCACCTGCATTTCCCTCTTTTTCCTCTCTTTCCCTTTTTCCTCTCAGTTGCAAAATTAATGCACATTCATTTTGTGAATTTCAAACAAAATGAAAAGGCACAAGTTACAGAAGAATTTCTCTCATGGTCCTGTTTTCCACCTTGATGAGAGCACAGTAGCCCAGAGTCAGCCACTTGAGTTCCCAGCTTGGCTCTGTCGCTTACTGACTACATGACGTTAGGCAAGAATTGGACCTTTCTTGTTTGTTCAATTTCAAAATAAGGGAATGGACATCTACTTCATAGGACTGCTATTTTATTAGTGTCTGGAAGAGTTTGTTGTAGAAAGCACTTGCTGAATGGCAGCTCTTAGGATCATTCTATGTCTTATTCTATTGTGTGCAAACACAGGCAGATCAACTTAGGCAAACAATACATATGGGCTTGTTTTTTTTACTAAGGTGATAAGGTATCATATGTACTGTTCTGCCAGAGTGAGTGAGTGAGTGAGAGAGAGAGAGAAAGAGAGAGAGAGAGAGAGAGAGAGAGAGAGAGAGAGAGAGAGAGAGAGAGAAACTCAGATTATCAAGGACTTTGATTGTTAGGTGAAGGAGGTGTGCTGGAATTTTCTAACCAAGAACTGAAGGATTAGAAGAATGAACATCACTCTTTAGTAGCCTACTGAGGCCACAGAGGCAGAGTGAGGCTGATGTGGAATGAAAGATGGGCAAGAATGCAATAGTAACTTGAGCTGAGAGAGTATCATGAGGGAAGAAGGTAGGGATGGGAGGGAGAGAGAGAGAGAAAGAGAGAGAGAGAGAGAGAGAGAGAGAGAGAGAGAGAGAGAGAGAGAGAGAGAGAGAGAGAGAGAATATGAATGAACCAGGGTCTCAGGGTCTCATGGAGTCCAGGCTGGCCTCAAATTTGCTGTATAGTCTGAACTGACTTGATCTTATGATCTTACTGCTTCCACTTCTCAAGTGCTGAGATTACAGGTATACATTCCCATGTCTCGTTTATATGATGCTGGGGACAGAATCCAGGGCTTTGTGCTAGCTGAATAAGCACTCTACCAAGTGAGCCATATCCCAGTCCACAACTGAATAATTTCCTGAACTACCGAGTAGACATGGTATGTAGGAAGTAGACACTGATAGGGCATACCATGGTACCTGGGTGCTGGCTAGTTTTTATGCTGTTTTGACACAAGCTGAGTCATCTGGGAAGCAGAAATCTCAATTGAGAAAATACCCCTACCTGATTGGCCTATGGGCAAGCCTGTAGTACTTTTTCTTCATTGATGATTGATGTGGGAGTGCCCAGCTCACAGTGGGTGGTGCCACTACTGGGCTGGTGGTCATGTGCTATGAGAAAGCAGGCAGAGCAAGCCTTGAAGAGTAAGCCAGTAAGTAGCACTCTTCCATGGCCTCTGAATCAGTGCCTGCCTCCAGGTTTCCACCCTGTCTGAGTTTCTGTCTTGGCTTCCCTCAAAGGACTATGACCCAGGATATGTAAGCCAAATAATCCCCTTCCTTACCAAGTTGCGTTCAGTCATGATGTTTTATCACTGCAATAAAACCCTTGACTAAGACACTCGGTTAGATTCTTAGGTGTCTTTCTTGACTTTTATTTTTGTCAGTGCTAATGTACAGTTAATCCAATACTATCAGTGAACATTGCTAAAAGCATTCAGAGTCTCTTATACTCTGTACATCACTCTTGTTCTCTAGGTAGTAATGGAAGCATCTTATCTTTGTAAAGGGCTCTTGGATTCCCTCATCTCCAGCCTGGGTTGTGTTTTCCAGTTGGAAACTTCTATTAAATACTTCATACTGTCCTGTGCCTATCTGTGCATTTCCACATTGCTCTGTATTTGCCTAATTATGTGTGCATCTCTTCCACTAAATTGTGAAGGCCTTGAGGGTAAAGCCTGGATCTTACCGATCTTGGTATTTGAAATGTCTATCCTATTGCTTGACCTTCTAAAACACACAGGGATGACATTTTGAATAAGCTTGGATAGAATGGGTAGGTCAGAAGGATCAGATTTAAAACATAGGTTGGGGCTCTGGTCAGAGGTCAGAGGTGCAGAGACAGAGTGTGGGTATCCTTCAAAGATGCAAAGCAATGATTCTAGCTAGAAGAGGATCCACCAGGGATCCTGACTTGGGAAAAGATTGAAGATATAAGGATTGA